TGAATTCAATAAAATGTGTGGAATTAAGAAACTAATGATGACCCATGAATCCATTGTCAATTGTTGGGGAAAAACCCATCTGGTTCACTAATGCCCTTTAGGGGAAGGAACTGCCATCCTCACCTGGTCTGGCCTCTTTGTGACTCCAGACCCACAGCAATGTGGTTGACTCTTAACTGCCCTCTGGGCAATTTGGGATGGGCAATAAATGCTGCCGAGCCAGCAACGCCCTCATTCCGTTAATGAATAAAACAAAAAAAATCATTAGACTTCCAATTCCAGATGTTTATTGAATTCAAATTCCATCTTCTGCTGTGGTAGGATTTGAACACAGGACATTATCATGGCCTCTGGATTAATAGTCTAGTGATAATAGCACTAGACCATTTCCCCCCCTTTCAGAAAAATTAGATCTGGAGAAGCACCTGAAACAGAAGATTGCTGCGTTTCCCTGTGAGTTCAAAAAACTCAAGTTTTCCTCATTATTGAATGCTTCCCACCTCTTCTTTCTCCGTGGATAAACATATGGATGATAATGGAATAGTTTAGGTTAGATGGGCTTCAGATTGGTTTCACAGGTCGGCGCAACATCGAGGGCCGACGGGCCTGTACTGCGCTGTAATGTTCTATGTTCTGTGTGCTGCTTTCCAGCTCGCTCATTGTCCTGCACCCTGGAAAGTTTGTTTGTGTTAGTTTTGGGAGCCATGCAAAAGGAGATGCAAGTATTGATGAGTGACCTGGGTACCACTACATGAGCATCTCCGACCGGTGTACCACCGGGACAGTAAAGACAAACGAAGCCTTTGTTCTCATGTTCAAATTCAACCAATGGGGAGAAAGATGTTCATTGATTGGAGGGTGGCATTCACTCGATGCAACGCCTCCAAACAACCAAAGGTGGCAACCCTGTCCAGGAGATTACAACAGGAACTCGTTCGGCATCCTCATATGGTTTGCGTTGGGGAAGCAGTTCAACTAGATCCTTTAGAACAAGACAGTCTTTCACAAACGCTGTTGAGCGTGTGGAGGTCATGACAACAAGTAATCAACGTCTGTCAGCCCAGGTACCTGAAACTAGACTAGGAAAGTGGCCTGGGCTAATAGCCCTAACACAATTCCATTGATCAAAGTGGCCTGGAAGCAAATCAATAATGACGCAGCATTGCTACACACTGTTGTATTATTTATATTCTTTGGGCAAATGAAGTCAGTTTCAATCTCAACAGGCATGTAGGGGGGGAGGGTGTGGTTCAGGACTGAAGTTTTGGTCTCTGAAGCACAGAGACAGCAATGGTACCGTAGCTCCTGAAATGAGTCGTAACAACTGTGTTCTCACTCTCGCAGCCCCTTCCCCTTCCACTGAGCAGTCGTAACAGTTTTCAAGCCTCGATATGGGATCAGAGTTCGGGAAGTGCTGATCTAGAACCCGGGGAGCACAGTCTCAAGGTAAGGGGTCGGCCATTTTGGACTGAAAGCAGAAATGTCTTCACTGAGAGTTTTGCAAATTGCAGGAATTCTCTGCCTCAGAGCCCTGTGAATCCTCAGTCACTGACAGATCATTGAACACTGAGGGATCTTGGGATTGGGGCAGGAAAATGTTGCTTATGGATGAGCTCAGCTATGATCTTAGTGACTGAGCAGGCTCAACAGGCCAAAGGCTTCTTAAGTTATTACCCCAGTCCCCTCAATTAAGATATTCCTTCAAACCTCAACCTTTGAACAAGCCCTTGATCAGTTGGCCAAATCTCCCCATGTCACATTTTATTTGATCATCGCTCGTGAAGCACCTTGGGATGGGTTTGCTATAATAAAAAGGTGCCAGCCAAATGCAGGTTGTTGTTCATTAGCTTCAGAATTATTCAGAGGTGCTACCACCTGTAACAGAACCTCTTCTGTGTCTGTTCAATGGTCTCCCCTGTCTAACCCAACACAGACTCCACACAGCAGAAAGCATCAACTGATTTTAAAATATCCTCAATTAACCTGTGATGTCACGACTCTGAGGAAGGTGGGACTTGAATCCAGCCTTTTTAAGCTGAGAGGTAGGGACACTACCACTGCACCACAACAGCACTTCACAGTAGTTACAGATTGGTGTGTATGTATGTTACAGTCTAATAAACACTGCTAATTCAGCACTTTTCTTCCTTTAACAGGGGCAGGTGGACTAGCAGAAATGTCAAAGAGCTGCAAATGAGTCCTGACTTCACATTGCTGATGTTCCAATTTAACCTGCAGCACTTCTAGTGAGAATTTGTCAAAGTCGTTTTCTTTCCCGAATCAGTTGCCCTGGCAACCTGCACTCGAGATGGTTTCATGTCTCTGGCATCTCTGGAGCCAGTCACCTTACTAATGGAAACAGAAAATGTGAGCAGCATGCAGTGGGACCAGGCAGTGACAGTGCAGGGGGAAGGTGGGGCAAATGTTTCCAATTGTTGAGCTTCGGCTAAACACACAAATTCTTTGGGCTGAATTTTCAAATGAGGTTTTGATCCTGTCACAGACGCAGTTCTCACCTTAAAAATATGGCCCTTAGTCTAGAAATCCCCCAACACAAGATAAGACATCTGCCATTCACCTTACCTATGCCCCTTATGATTTTATAAATCTCTGTAAGGTTACCCCTCAACCACCTACACTCCAGTGAGAAAAGTCCCTGCCTACCCAGCCTCTCCTTGTAACTCAACCCTCCATTCCTGGCAACATCCTGGTAAATCTCTTCTGAACCGTCTCCAGCTTACTGATATCCTTCTTATAACAGAACTGGATACAGTACCCCAGAAGAGGCCTCACCAACATTAGCTGGTTAGGTGGGTGAATTGGCCAAGATGTAGCAGGTGAAGTTTCATATATGTATAAGTCAGAGGTTATCAATTTGGTCAGATGAATAGAAAGGTAACTTATTATTGAAATGGGGAATAATTTCAGACTGTATCAATGGGGAGAGAGCTGGGTGTCCTTGTGCATGAATCACTGAAAGCTAGTATTTTAGGTACAGAACATCTTAAGGTAAATGGAATTTTGGCATTTATTGCTAAAGGAACAGAGTAGGGAAGTGTTACTGCAACTGGATGAGGCTTTAAAGAGACCGCACCTGGAGCACTGCATATACTTTTGGTCCCCTTACTTGAGGAGAGACGTAGTTGTATTAGAGGCAGTTCAGAGGAGGTTCGTTTAGATTGATGCCAGAGATGAGGCTTATGAGGAAAGACCGAGAAGTTTAGGCCTATACTATCTGGAGTTTAGACAAACGAGAGGAGATCTATTTGAGGCACATAAGATGCTGAAGGAGATTGACAGAGTAGGTGTAGGAAGAATGTTGCTTTGTGTGCAGCAATCTCGAACAAGAGATCACAGATTTAGGATAAGGCATAGCCAATTTAAAACAGAGACGAGGAACATAAGAAGCAGAAGCAGGAGTAGGCCATTTGGCCCATCGACCCTGCTCTGTCATTCTATAACATCATGACTGATCTTTTTGTGGACTCAGCTCCACTTACCCGCCTGCTCCCCATAACACCTAATTCCTTTAATGTTCAAAAATCTAATTTGCCCTAAAAACATTCAATGAGGTAGCCTCAATTGCTTCATTGGACAGGGAAATCCACAGATTCACACACTTTGCGTGAAAAAGTTCCTCCTCAAATCAATCCTAAATCTGCTCCCCCTTATTTTGAGACTATGCCCCCTAGTTATAGTTCCATCTGCCAGTGGAAACAACCTCCCGGCTTCTATCTTATCTATTTCCTTCATCATTTTAAATGATTGAGGAGAAATTACTTCTCTCAAATCGTTATGAATCTGTGGAATTCACGATCCCAGGGTGCATTGGATACTGGAACATTAAGTAAATGTGAGGAAGAGATGGGGAGATTTTTTAATGAGTAATGGGTTAAAGGATTATGGGGAGCAGGCAGGTAAGTGGAGTTGAGGCCGAACTGAGGATCAGTCATGATCGTATTAAATGGCAGAGCAGGCTTGAGGGGCAGAATGGCCTACTCCTGCTCCTCATTCCCATGTTCTTGCAATGGCTATGTTTGCAAAGCCAGGTCACACACTGTGCAGACCATTACCTTGCTTTCCACTGTGTTTTGCCATGCCTAAGAAATTAAAACTTAGTGGAAGACACACTAATTCATTCATAAACAGTTGATCCATTGCAAAAAAAATGCAGCAGTCCTGTCAGCAAACCTACTGACCTTTTCAAACTGCCGTTCGAATCCACATTGAAATGGTCTGAAGGGTTTGGGAAATTGAATTTGCTGAATTTCTCCTTTTTGTTTCGAATTGACTGTCAAAATAAGTGTCTAGTCAAGCATTTTCTCTTTCTTTGACTAATATTTTAAACAAAATGTGAATGATACGCATTGGGGCTGAGCAAGCACAGATAATGCCCACTTGTGAGTTAAACGTGAATAGTATCCGTTTACTGAAGGTTTCTCATCTTTGGAGTTAACATTGGATTAATCTCCCAGGTATGGAAGTGCATACAGTAGGAGCCTGTTTATCTGAATGCACTCAGCTATACGTAGATATGACCACATGAATTTAGGATCAAGAGTAGATCACAAGCCTTTACTCCCCGCCAGTTGCAGTGATGAGGGCAGATCTGGATTTTTATTCCAAGCTAAATAAGATCTAAACAAAAGCAAAATACTGCTCAAAATCTGAAAGAAGAAACAGAAAATGCTGGAATAGTCACAGGGCAGACAGCAACAGTGATGAGAAACAGAGTGAACATTTCAGATCATAATAACCTTCATCAGAACAGAAGATCCAAAACTAATGGAGTGTTTACTATCACTGATATGTACCCTATTGTGTTGCATTGGACATGTCGAACTATTGTCAGCGAATCTGCAAAAAAACCCATAATCCAAGCCAAACATATCTGCTCTTCCTTTCCCACTTACATTACGAGAGAGAGCTCTGTTTATGAGATATTGATGAAGTGCTATACATAATGTTAAAAACAAATACAGTTATTTAGCTGGACTTACCACACCACTCATCAACCCAGGCAAAGGCTTGCCGATGACCTATTAGTAAGATGTCCCTGATAACCTGAAACCAAAGAAGATAGCATGATTGAAATAACTTTGGCAGTTGCTTCTTTGCTTAAGCATTGCAGCATTGTTGATAACAAATCGTGGGCAGAATTCTATTTAGCTGAATATCCCTCTTTCTGTTTAACAATGAAACATTTTAACGCAATTTTTCTGGTTCTCGTCAGACGAATCTTTATAAGCTCAAATCTCACAGAGTGTAAGTAATGAAGAAATGGATCACTCAGAGGGAATAGAACTGTAAGAAATAAGAGCAGAAGTAGGCCATTCAGCCCATCGAGTCAACACCAACCCTCTGAAGAGCATCCCATCCAGACCCATGCCCCTACCCTATCCCTGTAACCCTGCATGCCCACCATGACATTGCCACCAGCTCCTTGTCTGGCTCAAAGTCAAATTGTAGCCAATACTTGCTGCTCAGAAGTACGTTGAGGTGTCTTCAATGCACAACGTTGTTGCTGCTGTGATTGGTCTAGTTGCCTCTTCGCATCCCACTGGCCCCCTTCAACAATTGGTGGAAAGCAAGGATAAACCCCTCCCAAACTGTAGCCCTCAGAACTTGTCATCAACCTTGGGGCTGAGTTGGTGTCTATCAACAATTTAGCAAATCTGTATAAAGTATCCAAACACTGGGATCTCACACCTCGTCTGATTATCAGAATGACAGTGGATGCTCCAAGCCTAGCTCTTAGCTCCCAGCTCTCATTCCATAAACATCCTTAAGGAAAACTGCCTCACTCTGGACAATGTCCCAAAACTAAAGGCAGGAGAAAATATCAGCTGCCAGTGTATAATTCTGTGCTGTTCAAACTAACCATGTGTCCTACTGATTCTCATTAACCATTATTATCTGTGGGAAGAGTCTTATTTCTGTCAGTCAACAGGTTTTCAGTTGCAGTTGAACTTTTTGGTCTGTCACATTCAGCTGTCCTGGGACCTGACAATGTATCCAGAAATTCTGAAAGGATTAAGAATATAAAATGTACTAGAGAATTCTTGTGGTGTGGTAGTGTCCCTACTTCTGAACCAGGACACCCAAGTTCAAGTCCCAATCGCTTCACAGGTGGGTAAAACATCTCTATATGGGTGATTAAAATATGTCTAGGATTCACAGAAATATTTTCTCTCGAATAGGGTTTTCCACCTTGTTATATGAGTCAGTGTGGACACTAGCTGTCCCACAGTGATTTAACACCCTGAGGAGCGTTAATTGATTGGAGATCACTGCCGCCAATCACACCCAGAAGTCCCGCCTCAGAGAGTCACCGGGCAATCTAGTTGGACAGTAGCTCTGTTGTCCCACCAGCACCAGCAGTGGCCAGGAATGGAACTACAAGCACTGTCCAGCATCTCAAGCTGGAAAAATGGGGAGGGGAGAGGGTTCATTTGCAGAGAAGGGAGGCATGACTAGGGATGGAATGGGGACCATGAGCTGGGCACTTTGGCACAGATGTTAGTTAGGTTATGCTCGCTTTGAATAGAAGGACAGTAAAACGATGTCACCTGCCCCATCAGCTCTGATGTACCTGTACCCACGGTCACTGCCGCAGATGTCAGATCGGCCTTCCTAAGGGTGTACCCACGGAAAGCGACCGGCCTGGATGGAGTTCCCTGGCCGTGCACTCAGATCCTGTGCAGACCAGCAGGTGGGAGTATTCACTGACACCCTCAACCTCTCTGTACCACGATCTGAAGTCCCCACATGCTTCAAGAAGACCACCAGTGCCAAAGAAAAATCATGCAGTGTGCCTTCAATGACTACCGCCCTGTGGCTCTGACCTCCATCTTTATGAAGTGCTTCGCAAAGTTGCTCATGGCTCACATCAACTCCAGTCTCCCAGATTGCCTGATCCCTTACAATGCGCCTACTGTCACAATTAAGTCCAAAGCAGATGCCATCTTCTTGGTCCTATACTCATCCCTGGAACACCTGGACAATGAGGATACCTACTTCAGGCTCCTACTTATTGACTACAGCTCCGCCTTCAACACCATATTTCCAAACAAACGCACCTCCAGACTGCGGGACCTAGGACTCTGATTCCCGCTGTGTAACTAGAATCTCGGCTTCCTGACCGGCAGACCACAGTTGGTAAGGATAGGCGACAATGTCTCTTCCCTGATAATTCTCAACACCGGTGCCCTGCAAGGCTGGCCCAACTCTACTCCTTATTCACATATGACCATGTGGCCAAATTACATCCCAACTCCATTTACAAGTTTGCTGACAACACCACCGTTGTAGGTTGGATCTCAAACAATGACGAGACAGAATGCAGGAAGGAGATTGATTGCTTAACAGTACAATCTCTCCATCAACGTCAGTAAAATGAAGGAGCTGGTCATTGACATCAGGAAGCGGAGTGGTGGGCACGCTCCTGTCTGCATCAATGGTGCTGAGGTAGAGATGGTCGAGAACGTCAAGCTCCTGGGAGTGATGATCCACCAACCATCTGTCCTGGTACAACCACGTTGACACTATGGTCAGAAAGCACAGCAAGGCCTCTACTTCCTCAGGAGGCTAAGGAAATTCAGCTTGTCCATAAAGACTCTTACCAATTTTTATAGGTGCACCATAGAAAGCATTCTATCTGGATGCATCACAGTGTGGGGTGCAACTACTCTTCCCAAGACTGAAAGGAAGTACAGAGAGTTGTGAACACAGCCCCGTCCATCATGCAAACCTGCCTTCCATCCACTGACTCCATCTATGTGTGCCACTGCCCCAGGAAAGCAAACAAAACAATCAAAGGGCCCTCCCACCCCAGTTATGCTCTCTTCCCCTCTTTTCCATCAGGCAGAAGATATAAAAGTTTGTACATCTGCACAAATAGATTCAAGAACAGCTTCTTCCCTGCTGCTATCTGACTTTTAAATGGACCTCTTTAATATTAATATTGATCTCTCTCTCTGTACCTTCTCGGCAGCTTTAACACTGTATCCTGTACTCTGTTACCCTGATGCACTTGCACGGTAATAAATCAAATCAAATCAAATCAAATAGTTGGGGAGGGGACATTACTGGGAGGCAGACAACAGGACAGGCAGCACCCCATGTGGAAAGGGGGCCCTTGAGGGAGATGCCCCTTTTAGACTGGAAGAGGTCACAGGGTTGGAAGGTGCTGTTGACGAAAGCTGCAGTGTATCTTATAGATAATGCAAACATCAACTGGGGGCAGAGGGAGTGAATACTGAAGGAGGTGGATGAGGTGCTGTTCAAGCAGTCCTGGAAGGTGTCAAGTCTCTAGAGTACTGTTTGAGCTGCACTCTTCCAGGCAAGTGAGGAGTATTTCATCACACTCCTGACTTATGCCTTGGAGATGGTGGACAGGCTTTAGGGTTTCAGGAGGTGTGTTAATCTCCTCAAAGCTCCCAACCTCTGACCTGCTCTTGTAGCCACATGACATATACGGTTGGTCCAGTGCAGTTTCTGGTCAATGGTAAGCCTGAAGATGTTGCTGATGGTGAATTCACCACTGTTGAATGTCATGGGGAGATGGTTACATTCTCCCTTGTTGAAGATAGTCATTGCCCAGCACTTTGGTAATTGCTTTGATGTTTGTGGTATAGATCAGTCTGAAGCTAGAAGTTGTCCAGGTCTTGCTGAAAGTACATTCAAACTGCATTAATATCTGAGGAGTCTTTAAAGATACTAAAAACTGCGCTTAAAACCATCAATATCCTTCAACTCTCAGAAGCTCATTAACTGAAAGATTTACCTCTGCTCCTGTCTCAGCAGAGGTTGCCAAGCCTACTGAATATTTCTAGCATTTCCCAGTTTAAATGCATGTTTCCAGCAACCACAGTATTTTGTTTTTACTTATGAATTTTCATACTAATTAGCAGCAGGGCATCTGGAGCATTACAAAGCTATTTTTAAATTGAAACAAATTGTGATAATACGAAGTGTGATTTTATTTTTGCATAGATCGACAGTTAGACGAGTTTAACTAATGACACCTTTTCCAGCTAAAGTAATTACATTTTCAAAAGAGAAGACAAACTGTAAGCCAAGGGCAGAAGTGGATTTTCATCTCCACAGCAACATGTTAAAAAAAAACCTTCGTTTGATTGCAAGGATCAATTACAATAAAGTTCTGCTAAACATACAGCATAAAGACAAATGTATCACAATTCCAACAGCTCAATATAGACAGTTTGAAAATCCCTGTAGTGGTTTACCTTAATTGTAAAATATAAAAGGGCCTTAAAAATTCAACAGAAAAGTCTCCAAAGTAACCTTGGGTCCTGGAGTCCATTGACATGAAGGTACCTTTCCTATTACAACCTAGGCTGGCATTCAAAATCAATACACCTAGGAGTGGGGTTTAGCTCAGTCGGCTTGATGGCTTGGTTTGTGATGCTTGGTAACACCAACAGCTTTGGTTCAATTTCCCACAACAGCTGAGGTTACCAGGAAGGATGCTCCTTCTCAACCTCCCTCCTCACCTGAGCTATGGTGACCCTCAGGTTAAACGACCAACGCCACCAGTCTCTCCGATTACATAGCAGGCCTATGGCCTGGTAGGACAATGGTGACTTTGTAGCCTCTCCCACCCACTGTGAGTCAGTGCTGACTTTGGGTGCTGCCTCTTCTTAAAAGAAGCATGGGGAGGTAATGGCCTAGTGGTATTATCGCAGGACTGTTAGTCTGGGGACCTGGGTTCGAATCCTGCCACAGCAGATGGTGGAATTTGAATTCAATAAAAATATCTGGAATTAAAAATCTCATAATGACCATGAATGCATTGCCAATTGTTCAGGGGGAAAAACCCCACCTGGTTCACTATTGTCCCCTTAGGGGAGGAAACTACCACCCTTACCTGGTCTGGCCTACAGGTGACTCCAGACCCACAGCAATGTGGTTGACTCTGAACTGCCCTCAGGGGTAATTAGGGATGGACAATAAATGCTGCCTAGCCAGCAATGTCCTCATCCCGTTAATGAATAAAGAATAAAACACACCAGTTTGTTGGGCTAGCCAATTCCCCCAGTCTT